TAACATCATAACTATACTCTGTTGCCCTGGGCTTTGAAGTCCTCCAAGGCTCGTTTAAAGCGTGTAGCCCTGCTCTTTCCACCTACCACTTGCTGGGCTGATCTGCAGAGATGGAATCCCTGGTTCTTCTGAAGACACTTAACATCTCTGGGCATTGAACCATATAAGAAACAAGGTCTTTTATGAATGAGGTGCCTGGGAGCCTTCAAGGACATCTGGCACCTACCTGGACCTCCTGTGTCTGGTTCTCCCTCCACAGGTGGTTCAGCGCCTGCCTCTGCTCTGCCCTCTGCCAAATTAAACACACAGGCATTTCCCTCCTTGGGTTGTGGGCTTCTTGTGAGCATGGGCACCCAATTGTATCTGTGCTCAGAGAAATTCAGCTTCCCCATGGGTCCCAAAGGACACTTGTCACTAAAACAGCGGTGCTGTTCCCAACTCACTCTGTGTTCAGAGGTACCACACATGATAAAGCCTTCTTCAGATGTTTTTAGATGTTGAGAAGGCAGCTGAAGCATGGGTAAATAAATTTCTTTTGTTTATTTAAGTGCTTCTCCATACAGTGAGCTCCCGAAGTGCTCTAGTGAAGATGGGTTTCCCTGCAGTAACCAGGGCTGAGCTGGCACTGGGACATGCCCTCAGCACCCTCCAGGTCCCATTTCTAGACACGAACTGTAAGTGCTCTACACTAGCAGGAGCCCATTGCTACTTGAACCTGAGCTGAGACCAGACATCCACAAAGCAGATGCACAGAAGTGCACGGATGTGGATCCATCTCTATCTAAATGCGTCTCCTGGGATGCACAGGAAGGGTAAGGACACGGGTACCACACTGCTCACCTGCTCTGTCATCCTCTCCTGCTTGCCCCACACCTCTGCTCGGCTTGGTGCCCGCCACCGTGCCTCCTCAGTGTCATCGTCCAGCAGGGTCCCCAGGTTGGACTCCACCACCTCTCTGGCCTGAAGCTCCTGCAGCTTCTGGAGTGGGGAGAGGAAGGAGTTGTGTGTCCCATAGCAGGCTCTGCTTTCCTCCTGGGGAGTCCAGCCTTGGCCAGACACTCTTCCAACCCCAAAACATTTGTGTGTCCCAGGAGCAGAGAAATGAGGCCTCTTTGGGCTGTGAACCTGTGATGCTACCTGGACCAGGAGACCCAGCAGGCTTGGACATCCTCTCGCCTGCCTTGAGAAGCATTCAAGGTGTTGCTCACCCCCTCCATGGCACTGCTTCTGCTGGCCATGTCCTTCAGTGCTGCAAGGAAAAGCTGCCTCAGACCATCTATCTCTTCATGCAGCTTCCTCCTCTCCTCCTCCTTCCACCTTTCCAAATCTCTCCTGCCCTCCTCTTCTCGCTGGTGAGCTCTCTCCATTTCCTAAAGGGAGGGGAAAAAATCAGGGCAGGAGATGTCTTGGCCACATAGCAGAAGTACCAAAGGCTGGGGCTCCTGCCCTGGTGCCCGTGGGATGAGCACCAACGCTCTCATTACATCCATGGCTGCTCAGAGCCTGCCTGCACACTGTGGGGAGGTCAGGCCAGCACAGCCCCCGGGCAGGCATGCTGACACTGTCCTTATTTCCACATGACATTTCCCATGGGAATTTTGAGGGTAAATTTTCCAAAGAAATAAACATGAGCCCCACTATAAAATATTTTTCATCACTTCCTCCACCTGTGCTTTAAAAATGTCTTGTGTTTCATCACATCTCCTTCCCTCTGATTATTCCAAACAGACCCTCGCCCCATACCTGCTGCCTGCGCAGCCTCTCTGCTTCCCTCTCCCCTTCCAGATGCCGCTGTGTCTCCCGTAGTTTTGTCTTCAGCTCCTCCACCTCATCCTCCATTTGCTCCACCTGCTTCATCCTCTGCCTCTCTGCAAAGCTCAGGGAAACAGAGGCACTGTTAACAAGGATCTGCCACCTCCAACTGAGATTTTGCTTTGGATGGGGGGAATCCTACTAAAATACTGAGCAAAGCCACTGCAGGGTTTCAGGGTGGAGAAGCAGGGAGCTGAGCTGCAGGAAAAAACATCACAAATGTGGCCTCTGATTTTTTTTTTTTTTTAAATAGTTTTTGTAATCTTGGTGAGATTATTTGCTTTGCGCTGGGTTTGCTCTCTCAAGCAAAATGCTCTGCTTGGACATTTCAAGCTTCACCAGGGAAGGTGCCTCTGAAGCAAAGCTCAACCTGGTTCATTGCATCAGCCCTGGGCTTGGGTTTCAATGCGTCAAAGTGACTTTTTTTATCTGGCAAGTTCAAGTGCTGGGTGCAGGTGAAGCTGTACTGAGGCTCTGTGGCTCTCACACAGCACATTATACCTGCAGCTTTCAAAGAATTTTGCAAAGAAGCATCAATTCCTGGCCAAAAAAAGTGGTATGGGGAAGGTAAACCCCTCTCCCACTACAGCAAAACACTCTCCCAAATTGCCCAGCATAGCTCCATCCCCAAGGTCCCATGGAATCTTTGGGTGGAGACGATCCTTAGGGAAATTGAGGTGCAGAGATGAGATTTAGATGCTCATGCAGCCTCATGTTTGACCACATGTCCTACTTCTGCTTGATGGAAAGGGAACGAGCAGAAAGCATTCCATACATATTCACAGAAATGCACAAAAAATAAGTTATAAGAAGTTGTCTTTAACCTCCTGTGGTCACTCTCTGGTTTCCAGCACCCACATCCAATGTGATAAAACCTGCCTGGGAAAATGAAGGGAGAAATTGTCCCCATGCTCACCTGCCTTGGTAGGCTCTGTGTGCCGGCGCTGCACGTGGGCTTGCAGGAAGGAGTCGTTCATGAAGGCTTTATCACAGAGGTGGCACTGGAGAGGGGGGAAAAGTCAGCAGAGAGACTGGGATCTGCAGAAAGGGACCATGTCCATGTCCTCTGCCTGGCAGACAAAGCTTTGCTGCTTTAAAGCAAAAGGGGAGACCTCAAGAGACATAGCTGTTGAGTTGAGGGTACATAGATGGAGGATATGAGGAGTTTCTTCTCTCTGAAGCCAAAGAAAAACCTCTTTAGGGGTCAGGAGAAGGCAGAAGCCAAGATGGCGCAGCGATACTGCTCGGGGGAAAAAAAAAATTAAAAAAAATGTTGCTTTCCCCAAGAGAGGAGTGCAAGAAGAAGGTGGCCAAAACAGCAGTGAGGTCCTGGTTATAACAGGGTCCTGCTCTGGAGGAAGAAAAAGATGAACTCATGGGAATGATCAGGCTGAATGAAACTAAACCACCTGGTTTGAATGGTTTTTACTCTCCAGGAAGAAATGAGCAGGTTGATTTGGTGATGGAGAAGCAGCAGATAAAGAGGCACAGCCAGCGGGCACCCTGTCAAAAGGGTGGGAATAGCCTGGTGAGGGAAAAAAGCAAAATCATCACCAAATCCAGGAGCATTCAGACATCTTTCACTGGTCTGGAGGATGTTTGAAGTCCCCTTGGCATGAGGTGTCCCCCAGGACACAGGGATCTGATGAGATCTCTCCAGCCAGCCCTCTACAGACACCCCCCCCACACACACACAGCTCTGATACCTGCAGTTAGCACAAAACAAGGGACCTTCCCTAGCAAGGACTTTGCACTCCATGTGTCCTTCACACCTTCATCACCTTCACACCACGAAGGTGATGAAGCAGAGCCAGGGAAAGCAGCAGGGCTGGCCAGCAGGTTTTTGGATGCCAAGGTGTCACCACAGCAGGGATACAAAGGCAGGATGCAGCAAAGAACATCCTGAACGGAGACATGCTTTACACCCTTACACCTTTCCACCACCTACCTTGCAGTAGGTGTTGGGACCAGCTTGCAGGAGGAGCTGCTGCATGGCAATCAGCTTCTTCCACCTCCTGTTCTCCTCCTTTGTCAGCCGGAGCTGTGCTGCCTGCTCTGCTGCCTGCTGCTGGGTCTGAGCCAGCTCAGAGTGGGCAGCTTGAAGGTTCTGGGCATGTGTGGCCAGGCTGGTCCCCAGGCTCTCCTGGCAGTGCAGCAGGTACTCAATGCTCAGCTGGGCCATCCTTTTGGATGGGGTCTGCTGGCTGCCCGCAGTGTGGGCACTGCTCCCTGTCCAGGTTGCAGAAGGTGACACTGGTGATGTGCTCCTGGAGCACGACCACGTCCACCTCCCGGGCCACCCGCTCCACATCAATGGCACTGAAGCGACGCCAGTCCACACCAACCCGACGGGGCTGGAAGTGGAAGGGAGGGATGTCCACTGGGATGGTGAGTCTTCGGGATGCTCCTGGCATCCCTGCAGCCCCGGGTGTGGGCTGGTGGAGTGGGTGGTAAAAGTCTGCAGAGAAGGGCTGGAAGGCAAAAGGGATGTGTTAGGGTTGAGCCCACAGCCATCCTCCGGCTCTGCTGGAGCCTCTACCAGCTTGCACACACTGTGGGCATCGGGTCAGAGCTCATCTGATGTGGCAGCAAACAAAAAATCCTTCCTTTTCCTGCCCCATCCAGAACTTCTATCTACTGCTTTGCAAAATTCT